TCAAATTAAATGATATCTGGATTACTGACGTCCGCACCGGCAGAAAATCGCAGGATGCTACCTGCACAATCTGAGAGAGAGAGAGAGAGAGAAGGTGGGAACGGGTGACGGGACGGAAGGCGGATGAAGCAAGGAGGAAGGGAGCAGGAAGGGAGGAGATAGGGAGCAGGAAGGAGCGCCCTGTCGCCTTGGGCGCATCAGCAGCAGGAACGGCTCTGCGCCCCCCCGGGGGGGGGGGCCGTCTGACTGCTCTGTCACCCTCCGCGGGAGGCTGCCTCTGCCTCAAAGCGCCCCACGTCTGACACATGCTCGGGGTGGGGGAGAAAACACGACACACGGGCGAGGGACGTGAGCCGCCCGCGAGGAGCAGCACGCGTGTGCAGGCTGTGAAACAAGCACGCGAGAGCCGAACCGCTGAGCACCAAAAGGCCTTCGTAGTGACCGACTCAAATCTGGGCCAGAAAACATAAACCCAGGTCACGTTCATGCGTGAGCGCGGTGCAATTCAGGGCCTCGCTCCCCGATGCGGCCTCAGGGGTGACCCTCCTGCTTAAGTCAACACAATGAGTGTAATGAGGGGAAATACACACACACACACACACACACACACACACTGGAGATGGGAACCCTTGCTGCATAGTAAGTGGGCTTCATTCATCTACATGCAGAGAGAAGTTCTACTCACACCCCCGCACTGGGAGCAGAGAGAGCAGCTTATCACAGGTGAGTGAATCATGGCGGACTGACGGAGGCGCGCAGGCGTGGCCACGATCCTCCAAATTTCAACACATAATGCAACTTGAATTATTTTAAATAGATTTATTTTTTTTCTTTAAGTGACGGGTTGCCTTCTCCTCTCTGAGTCCGTCAGCTCGGAGTCCACAGTGATCTTATCTCCACGTCCGGGCCACCGGCGGCTTCACGACGGGAGAGAACCTCACAAAAAAGGCGTTTTTAATCATTAACCCCGCCACACTTGCTGAGAACTCTGAGCAGAGACCACCGTCCTCCGCCGGAACGCGCTGCGGGACATTCAACCTTAAAACGCGTGCGTGCCTCAACTTGCGGGGCGTGTGCATGGCGTTAAAAAATAAAAAAAAAGAAGAGAAAGAAAAGTGCACCATTTTCCAAATTAGCAGAGGGAACTTTCACACACGCCGCTGCCCGCCCGGTGCGTGCGGCGCTTCTGCTATAAGGAGCTCGTGCATGATGGATCGGACAGGTGTGAGGCGAGCGATTAAAATAAAATGCACGAATGCATCAGACTTCGGCCCAGATGTCACCAAAGTGGAGCCCGAAATGACAAGAGGTGGAGGTCGGAAAGGCGTCGCTTACTCACCCGGCCGCGCAGCCCCGCAGGTGCGTTAGAGCGTCATCTCGGTCCCCTGCGGCCGGCTCTTCCGATGAGTTCTCCCGGGACAGCGCGCCTCGATCCCCGCTATCATCCTCCGCCGCTCCGTGCAGCCTCCTCCTCCTCCTCCTCTTCCTCCTCCTCCTCCTCCTCGCAGCAGCAGCAGCAGCACCAGCCCTCCCTGTTTTTTTACGCGTCTTCCTTTGGCATCACATGCAAAGCAAAGCAGGGTTAAAACCCCCGCTGCGTGCGGGTGGTGGTCGCGGGGGTCCCGGCGGTCCGTTTCTCGCTATGTGGCGCGCGGGTCACCGCAGCGGACGTTTGAGGGATGCTGACGCGCAGACCGGAGGGGCTCGTCTCCTGCTTCTCTCATCTGGCTCCATCAGCTGTCGGTGAGGCAGCACCATGTGACCGACTCGCACAACCACCTCGGCTTCCGGGGGGAACATGTCAAAATAAAATAGAGAGAAGAAACCTTACCCAGTACCAGACTGGGGTAAGTACCAGACTGGAGTAAGTACCAGACTGGAGTAAGTACTAGACTGGGGTAAGTACCAGACTGGGGTACGTGTCTAGACTGGGGTAAGTACTAGACTGGGGTAGGTACCAGACTGGGGTACGTGTCTAGACTGGGGTAAATACTAGACTGGGGTACGTGTCTAGACTGGGGTAAGTACCAGACTGGGGTACGTGTCTAGACTGGGGTAAGTACTAGACTGGGGTACGTGTCTAGACTGGGGTAAATACTAGACTGGGGTACGTGTCTAGACTGGGGTAAGTACCAGACTGGAGTAAGTACTAGACTGGGGTAAGTACTAGACTGGGGTAAGTACTAGACTGGGGTAAGTAGCAGACTGGGGTAAGTAGCAGACTGGGGTAAGTTCTAGACTGGGGTAAGTACTAGACTGGGGTAAGTAGCAGACTGGGGTAAGTTCTAGACTGGGGTAAGTTCTAGACTGGGGTAGGTACTAGACTGGGGTAAGTTCTAGACTGGGGTAGGTTCTAGACTGGGGTAAGTACCAGATCGGGGTAAGTTCTAGACTGGGGTAGGTACTAGACTGGGGTAAGTTCTAGACTGGGGTAAGTGTCTGGTTCGGACTCAATGTGGATGAGGGCAGGTCAGGGGCTCATATAAAGGCCCCTCAGCAAGTGATTGACCGATTTCAACCATCATATCTGTCCCGATGGCTCCTCTTCTACATGTGTTTCCATTCATCTATGCACCATATCATGTACATAAGATAAAAATACTAGCAAAAAGTAGTATCTGTCTGGAATATGTTGTAAAATCAATAAAAAGAAAGTGCTCAGGCAAAGATATTGTAGTGATATTATTATTAAAACAAATCTATATTACATTGCATAAACTCGCTCTTGCAGGTCAAACAATTTTTAAATCAAACACAATGTAGAAGAAATCCATCTTGACATTTGTGATGAAACCTCCAACTTGTCTAACAGGCTGCACGTTTTGTGCAGCCGCGTCTAAACTAACAATCTGCGTTTTATTTTGAAGGCCAACTACCTAATATCCTGTATTTCCCCAGCTCGTGCCTGGGCTCGATGCACCATTCAACTGCATCCGACCTCACAGGCCAGCGCCTCCTGGCGGCCATCCACGAGAATAACAGACCTTGTTAAAAGGGGATTCTGGGGGGCCAGCACCTCGTCACTAAAGCACAAACCCGTCATGAATTATTGACGTGCTCCTCATAATAGCCCCGGTGTTTGTTCCTCATCCAGTCTGCAACTCTCTTTGTGGCGAAACAGGGAAGAAGAATCAGGGGAGACTCCGCCTCCACGGACACGTGCCACCTTAAACTTTAATGAGCACGGGGCCTAAATAAAGACCGCGTTCACGTGATGTCCTCCGCAGAAGGTCCAAAGGATGCGATCCATCCAAACACACTTTGTTGGAGCACCAAAATGTGTGTGGACAGAGACAAAGCGTCGGCAGGGACGGTGAGTCTTGGACGCTTTTCAGAGGCAGAGAGAAAACAGCCCCGTCCTTTGAGGTCTTTTCTCCATTGTCGTCCAGACTCTCGGGGTCTCCTCCACAATGCAGCGTCCCCTCGGAGAAGCTCGCCACTGGCTGTCATGTCACTTCACATTAGTGTCTGGGAGGAGAACAGCGCCCCCCCCGAGGGCCCGGACCCCGTTGTCATGAAGGAAGTGCTCCGGACACACACACAGACACACACACATACACACACACGCACACACACACAGCGGGTCAATAAGGAAGTGTCGGGCAAAACAAGAACACAAGGAGAACCTCCATCAAGGCCATTAGAACCAGTGACCCCGTTCCGTCCTCGCTCCCCCCCCCCTCTCCCTCTCTCCCCCTCTCACTCTCCCCCTCTCTCTCCCTCTCCCCCTCTCACACTCTTTTTTCTTCATGGCACACATTCAGAAAACATGGTCTCATTAGAAATGCACTTGTGAATGAGCTTCGTGCGGGAGGCTCACTGATGTTTCCCCACCAGCAGCTCTTAGGAGGTGAAACGCGACCAGCAGCCAAAGCCCTGACATGTGATAACATCTCTGCAAACTGCAGTTATTCAGCAGAGCCGTGTTGTTCGAACGCACACGGCCTTCTTTTATGAGTTGTAGCTGCAGATTAAGTAGGATATTTACATACAGAGGCGTGCTCTTGTGCAACGCTCGGATGAAACGAAGGTCCGCGCTGCTTTCTCCCCGGCTTTCACCTGCGTCTCGCGTCTCTGCTGTTTCGTTGGGTGGAGGTTGACCCCGAGGCACGCGGCTGAGCAAAGAGAGCGCGCTCACCAAAGCTCCAGAGGAGGCGAGTCGATGGACGCCGGGCGAGTCCAACGAGCATGGAGCTGCTTCTAGGTGACCATGATGCTGAATTCTTTCTCAGGTTGTCGGCTCCCACGATTAAAAGATGTTTGTTTTTACGTTTTTATTAAATGCTCCAACCCGAGCGTGCCCGCCAGGCCGCCCTGAAACTCCCGGGGGGGGGGCTATTTTTGGCGTTGGAGGGAAGAGCTTCTCTTGAGGATGACGCAGGTGGGCCGGGCGGTGCAGGGAGGAGAAGTGTGATGAAATGAGATGTGAAGGGTTCCCTCACTCGGCCCGCAGACTCGTGAAAGATTTATCAGGCTGGTGGAGAGACAGAGAGAGGGAGGGAGGGAGGGAGAGAGCGAGGGAGACCAGAGGAGGAAGAAGGTGACTGAACGGTTTGGTTTAGTTTTTTTAGTAGACATCACACGGAGCAGTGGCCGCCCAGTTCGTTTCATTCAAACTGAAGAATAATTCTACGAGAGTTTGCAAAAATCAAACTGATGAGAATGCTGGTTGAATTATTTTGTCAAAGTGTGTCAAATTGAGTCCCAGTAAAGATGTTTGCGTTGAAAAGATCACGTAAATGGCAAAACATGGACCTTTGGCCTCCTGCAGAGCAACGCAGGGGATTTAAAAAGGATTCATTCGTTCCGCTATTGAGCAGCGCGTCACTTCGCGGAGCCACCAGGGGGCGCCGGTCCTCCACCCGCGGCTCGTCCACCCCCGAGTCCCGCCACGCGCGCCCCCCCCCCCACACACACTGCAGTCACACACACACACACACACACACACACACACACACACACACCCTCCAATAAATGACTGGATGAAATCGGCTTCAACGCGTTTTGTGCTCATATTTGACATTTTATTTTAGGTTGATATAAAGCAATTGGTTGCCATGACAATGAATTGATTGTCCTCCGTTAGAACATTTTTGAACGAGGAGTGTCGCGCTCTCTCTCTCTCTCTCTCTCTCTCTCTCTCTCCCTCTCCCTCCCTCCCTCCTCCCCTCGTGCACACCGGCTCGCGGACACCCACCCAGCCAGTGAGCGTTAGTGCGACGGGTCCGGCTGCAGCAGCGGGAACAAACGGAGCCCGGAGCAGCTGACTGCCTGTGTGTGTGTGTGTGTGTGTGTGTGTGTGTGTGTGTTTTATTCCTTTTAATTCTTTAGGGGGGGTCGGGGAGCTGTGTGCTCCGCTCAGACACGCCGCAGCAGAAGAGGAGGTAATGGGACGCCGGGGCTCGCGTCGGGCACGTTGAGGGCGCCTCCGAACGGGTTCTCCAAGTCGCGTTTTGAGGGTTTTTTTTATTTTTATTGGAACGTCCCGGATCAGGGTCACGCTCCTGCCCCGCGTGCACGATGGGCTGCTGCAGCGGGCGATGCACGCTCATCTTCATCTGCACCTTACAGCTGGTGAGTCGCTCCTCGCAGAGTTGGTTGTAAGTTCGTGCTTTACTGTGGCGTGCATGTGTGGCGTGCATGTGTGGCGTGCATGTGTGGCGAGAGCGTGTCAAATACGAGCACATCTTTGAACAAAGTTTAAACTCTAAGTTTGACACACGGACACAAACCACGTGTCCACCTGTCAGATTCTTTTCAGCTGAAGGGGGGGTCTGAGCAGCATCCATGACCCCGGCTGGTTCGGTGTAAGTCGGTGACCGTGTTGTTTTATTCATTTTTCTGATCCCTGACAGAAAACATATGGTGCTGTTGGTCCTCTAACAGCCTCCAGTGGGGGGCCGGGGGGGGGCACTTGACTGAATATTGAATAAGGCCTAATACGCACTCTTACTCACCACGTACTCCTGGGTGAAACTGGGTTAAGACGTCTGCTCTCGTCTTGAGATCATAAAAACAATGTTAATGGAGAACTCGGGTGTTGATCCACAACACTTGAGCCCCCCCCCCCACCTTCTGACACCCCCCCTCGGTGAAGCGGGGGGGACAAAACACCGGTGGGCCTCGGAACGGTGGGGGCCACCACGGCTTTTGCCACCATTCCTGGGCGCCGGTTATTTGACAGGGTGTGACAATGTTATATATGGGGGTATTAAAAACAGAGGTCGCTCACACAACACCCCCCCCCCCCCCCCGGTATAGATAGCTGCCTGCCTCGGGTATAAAATTGTCAAAGGATTGTGAGCTGCGTTTCGTGGGGAGACAAAGATCTCACTGAAAAAGAGGTCGAATCTTTAGTCTTGCGTCCTGTCTGTGGAGGAGCGAAAAGAGGTCCCCACAGCAGTGTTAAACAGCCCCCCCCCGTTTACTGAGGCTTTATTCCCCCAAAAGATCTTGAGACCCCACCCCCCACCCCCAGTTCTCCGCTGATAGTCACAGGTTTCTGGTCGCAGGCGATTAGACCTCCGCCTTTTAGTTCCCAGTGTTTGCGTTTTCCTGTCATTGGAAGGACTTCCTGTCCCGTCGCCCCCGCTTCCTGTTCCACATCGGTCAGGTTTCAGCTCGGTGAAGCCCCTAAACAGTGAGTCATCTTGTGTCTACACGGCTTTAGGTCCTGGTGTTCTAAGTCCCGCTCCCTCCCCGATGACACACACTCAAACCCCCCCGGGACTATGAACACACCTTGAGGGACACCCGTGTTTTCCCTCCCCAGACGTTCAGACCTCATCGGCCTAATTAGAGAGGAGGAAGGGTCGACCGTTCGTTAAGAGGTTTATTAAGCTGTCAGCAGACTGCCTAAAAAGTCCCAGAAGACGCCTGGAAACGACTTTGTTTCCCCCCCCCCACCCCGCCGCTATTTCTGGATGACCTGACACTTCCTGTCTGAGAAGCACACACGCGGCTGACGAGTTTCACCCCGCGAAGAGGGGTCGAGTTAAACCCTGAGTGACCCTTTAGGAAAGGGCATGAATATACATGTGTGTGCAGCTTCACAAGCCCCCCACCCCTGCCCCTACCCTTCCCCCCCCGTACCCCCTCCTGGATGAAACCTATGCATTGCCAATGAGTAGGTTATTCCATCACTACCATTAAAAAAAACCCAACTCCTCAGATGTAAGAATAGCCCCTATGAGCCGCTGCGCGTGCTTATTAGCCGGGCAGAACGCTTTGATCAAAACCTCTTTCGGCAGTCGCCCCCCCATCGCCCCCCCCCCACTCCCCTAATTGAATTGTGGTGCGCTCTCCCCATCAACATGCCGAGCGGTGGGACTCATCTCACCGGGACCGAAGGCAACTGATAATGAGCCACGTGATTGATCGAAAAAAACCCCGCCTCCGCTCCCTTTGCC